TATATGTCCTGGCTACTGGTCAATCAGCACTTTATTAACAAATCAGAGCAACACATTCTGGCAGCCTGAACAGTCATCCAAAGTTCCTCTGTAAAGTTGGGGCATCTGTCCTCAGCCCACAGGCCTAGAGTCTCTTAGTCACTTCTCTGTGTCCTGTAGAATGTCTGGCATTTTCCTCTGTGAAGCAGGAACATGAAGGACCATTTTGCCAAGCAAAATTCAGTGGTTACCTTCCTATGGGTCCTGCATATCCAGTTTATATGACATTTTGTCAAGCAGTGTACAGATATCCACAGCACTTCCCCTTTTCTTTTTTTTTCAAAAAGGAGGGTTTTAACGTTAACAAAGTAAAATTACATATAAAAATACAATTATCAAACAAGAATTACAGTTACAATATCTAGTCTATTTATAATATCTAGTCTATGTGTATTTGGCAAAATTAAAGAAGATACCCTATTTATTCTATATTTGTGAGTCTAAAGTTTCATATCTAACTTACCATTTATCATAACTAAGGAAATTATAACTGTCTAGTCTTCAACTACATCAAAGACCTCAGAAGGATATAATATTGCCTGAGAAATGGGAGAAGGATGCAAGCAACTTTCAGGAGTCTTGTGAGAGTAGACAGAGAAAGTTGGTAGCTTGGACAATCATCCAGAGTTCTTCTATAAAGTTGGGGCATCCGTCTTCAGCCCACAGGTCTAGAGTCTCTCAGTCACTTCTCTGTGTCCTGTAGAATGTCTGGCAGTTTCCTCTGTGAAGCAGGAACATGAAGGACCATTTCGCCAAGCAAAGTTCAGTGGTTACCTTCCTATGGGTCCTGCATATCCAGGTTATATGACATTTTGTCAAGCAGTCCAGAAAAGAACAGTTTCTTGCCCAAGTGGCTTGTTTTTGCCACAAAGAAGATAAACTCCATATAGAGTGTCTTCAGTGCCCATGTTTCTCTTTGGAGTAAATTGGTGCTGCAAGGAGCAGGCATGTCTTACTATCTAGGAAAGTCTGTTTTAAAACATTTTAAATGTCATATTCTATCGGTCTTTGAAGTGTTTGAAGACTATCTGACTAATTGAATTTTATCTATGTATACCTAGAAAACTTAAAATGACTATAAGTTTGACTGTCATAGAACACTAATTATTAATCTGTTTTTACATTTATTTATTTATTTTGTCCCACACCAGATATGGGACAAAAGAATCTCTCAACTTTTTTTTTTTAAGCAATATGCTTGGGTTTAGAGAAGGAGTGAACCAATTCCATCTCCAAAGCCAGCTTGGTATATTTGGAAATTTGGATGTAGCTTCTCATACTTCCTGCTGGATGAGGGCACTGTATTCTTATGGGAACATAAAGAAAATTTTAGGATTGTAGTTAAGTCCTGACTGGAGTAGTCTGTAAGGCTACATTGTCTGAGCCTTGAAACCATTCCGGATGTTGGAGCATCTGGGCCATGGTGTCATCCGAGACCTTTCAGGGGGTCTTGGCTGGTCAAACCTGATGTATTTTAATCTGGAACAAATCCATAGCCTTTTTCTTTCTGTGGAAACAAAAGCAGAGCCTCCTTTCCAAAGCAACATATTCTTAGATCCAAATTTTGAAATCAGGATACCTTTAAACTATACATACTGGTTTAACTGAGCAGTGTTTACAATCAAATGTCTTTCTGCAATTAAAAATCCCAAAGACAACACAATCCAGATTCTCTGTATGATATCCATTTTTGTGTGGCATATTTTTTATGTTACTTTTACTTTCCTTTAAAAATTTTGTTTTAAAACTATCTATTTCTTTAGGTAACTGCATATATTACTTTTTATTCTCTTCCAAGCCTACATACATGTTTACACACATTGTAAACCATTTAGAGGTTTATCCTATCTGAATCTGTCTTATTGTGAATCTATTGCTTTAAACTGCAGCATTCTAAGCCTGAAAAGGTGGCTGTGGCTGCTGGCTCCGCCCACCTCAGCTTTTCAACATGGTGGAACTACATTTACCAGCAGCTTTGTCTTTGAGAGAACCATGCTTACTGCTGGACTCTGGGAGGCAGTGCGTCTATGCCTCTATCAAAGCAGCACGTAGCCCAGAAACCTTTTTTTTTTTTCTTTAACTAGCAAGAACTATATCCACCATGTAGCATAGTGCGCAGCTTGGAGACACCTCTGTGTAATGTGGCTTGGGCCAAGCCTGCACGCCACAAACCCGCCACAGAGTATCTCAAGCCCATAGGCTGCTACAAACTTGAGAGAGACAACTAGGATGCTGTTTTTAGCTTGGTTTTAGAATCTTCTTTGTCAGGTTTTAGGCGGAAATTTGTGCCCCACATTCTGGCGCCATTTGTATCTGGTGTTATCTCCAGTCCCAACCGGGCCCGTAGTTTATAAAAAGGTGAAGTGGCTCAGGACATTAGATTGTGGGCTTTCCCTGTGTGTCATCATGGCTGAGCCAATAAAGTCCCTAATAACACAGGATTGGGTATGGATGAGTCCAAGGAATTCTATTTTCAGTGCAAGTGGGAATCACTAACATTAAATGGGTCTTAAAACATTAAATGTTTCTCTGTCTAAAACAAAACAAAAAGAATGAAAGCATGCAAATTGTGGTTAACAGGACAGATCAACCAAGCAGCAGCCAACGAAACTAATAATATTTAAGATAACTCCTGGAATGAGCTCACAAATATCAGTATTTAAGGGACAAATGCACAGCTCCTTGATATCACTCTGAGCAGTCTGGGGAGTTCTTATAATTTTTTGGGGATATCAGCTCACATCAAATCAGAATTTGTAGCTTCAACACAGAAAAGAAGCTGCAGAAAATTGTCTTAAAAATGGGAACTTTCAATGTAGTATCAAGTCATTTTTCAACCCTCTTAAATTTATCCTAAAATAGGACATAACAATCTTATCCTTTAATAAAAATTTTATCTCATATTAAAAAGGAAGACACAAGGTTAGAGAAGAATAGATGATTGTATAAGGTTTGTGAATAATTATATTTCTTAGAATTTATCTTTAGTTCTGACAGTATCTAAAATTTTACTTCATTTTTTAATTTAGTTTCTAAAATTACTAACTTGTATAATATATTTTAGTATTTTTAAATTCCAAAGAAAGCAGGATGCCAACATACTTGTTTTATTTTGTTGCTTAGGATGTCTAGTTATGCATGCAAAAAAAGCAATTTACACATAACAAATGATCCCCACTGAAGAAAACATAAAAAAACAAGTTATCTTTAGATTTCTCCAATTTTTTTTCAAATATTTGCAAGTTGAATTAACACATTTTCTTTACAAACATAAACAATAAATGTAAAAATTAGGAGCTGAATAGATCCCTGAGTCCCTCTTAGAAAGACAGAAATCAATTGCTTTCATTAATAAAAAAAACTTTAATGAATATACACCATGTTCCAAACACTGTTTAGAAATAAAAATGTAAAAAGCCTGAAATTATGGTCCTTACTTTTACTTTGAAATTTATGACACAGTATCTTTACATCAGTAATAATCAAATTAAATATTCCCTGTTTTACTAAAAATCCAACCATGTAATGGTATAACATTTGTGATATTTATAAATTACATTTTAATTAATGTATGTACTAAACTGAAGTAATTATGAGGGACAAAATGTATATTTGATATGAACATGAATATAGTGAGTATATGGAATTATTTTTTATCTATTAAATCACTCTATTTTCCTGTATCACTTACATAAAAAACAATTCTCAAGTGTTATAAAGGAATATATACAAAAAGTTACAAATCAGGCTGGTTGTAAGCATCTGTAATCCAAGCACTCTGTATTCTGCAACAGGAGGACTGTGAGTTAAAGGCCAGCTTGCACTACATAGCAAGACTCTTGCCTAAAGAATTAGTAATTATATCTGTTTATAGGGTTGAAGGTGATATGAGATCTTGAGATCTTTCTGTCTGAGTCTTTGTGTGTGTGTGTGTGTGTGTGTGTGTGTGTGTGTGTGTGTGTGTGTGTGTTCAAGATCCTTCTAAAAAGCAGCGTCAACTAGAGGAGTGAGTGGTCAAACACATGAAATTATGGGGAACATTACATTTTCAAAACACAACAATGGCATTTTCATAACTGACATTTGATAATCTGTTTCTTTGAACTATATGATCTTGAAACTAAGATTTATAGCACTAAACTTTCCTTTAATGAATATTTAGACAATGATATTATTGTACCTGAAAATGCATATTTCTTATGGTATACTAAAAATCTTTATATGAAATATGGTTTGAAAGCAAGCTGTAGTGAATGGATAAGTAGATGCATATTTGATAAGACACTATGACCAAGGAAACCTATAGAAAAAACAGTTTATTGGGGCCTTTCAGTTTGAAAGAGTGAGTCCATAGCCATGATGGTGCAGAGAATGACAGCAGGTAGGCAAGCATGATGGTAGAGCAGTAGCTAAAACCATACATCCTGTTCCACAAGCATGATACACAGAGAGAGAGACAGAGACAGAGACAGAGACAGAGACAGAGACAGAGACCCAGGAGAGTTAACTGGTAATGGTGTGAGATGTTGAAATCCCAAAGCTCACTCCTAGTGACACACTTCTTCCAACAAATCCACACCTCGTAATCCTTCTAAAACAGTTCAATTAACTGAGGACCAAGCATTCAAATATATGCACGTATGAGGACCATTCTTCTATGAAAATGTTATTTGAAAGCAATTCAACAGTCATAATGTATTTTTAGCCTTTCTACTCACCTGCTTATAGCCCATACCACGACTGAGATTAGCAAAGAAATTTAAACTAGTTCTTATTTTGAAACTATACATTTGACTCACTCTACCAAAACTTGTTGAATAAATGAAAATCTTTTCCAGTCTATGAATCTTGAAGTTTCTCCTTGATAGATACTTGTTTTAATGAAAATTATGTAAAGTCCATATTAGCACTGAAGTAAAAGATGATGTATTGTATATCTTTTTCTTTGTTTCTTTTTCTAGTGCAAGAGTGTGGCTAAAATGTGTCACTACATAATTTCTCTGCCACCTGATCTTCCAAAACCTGAAATACAAGTTCCAGGATCTGTTCTCTGTGAAGAGAGACCATCTAGGGTGCAAGTGGTAAGCAGTTTTAAACAAAGATTTTTCATTAATATAAAGTATTAATAAAAGATTTACAAATGCTCTAATATTCTTTCTAACAAAAATCACTTGTGATATTTTTTTGTTTTTTTCTGATGTTTTCAGTATATATAATATGCAAAATATAATAACTTTTTATATATAGTCATTATTAATTTTAAATAAATACTTTATATGATGGAGAAATACCAACTTTATTAATCATTCAGTTATTATTGGATTTGGATGCCCATAAGAATTCAGGTACTGAAAGTAAAGCTAATATAATTAGCTTAAAAATCTGGCTGTGGTGACAGCATGCAATTCTGTAAAATTAATGCTGTTTTAAATTACAGATGACTTATAATGAATTAAATTTTTATACCAGTATTTGGGATGTGTGGGTGTGTGGGTGTGTCTTGTGTGTAAATTGAGTTTCTCTCTTCTTCCTGTTTCTGCTACATTAATAATTTGTTTTAATTGCTATATGTTTTTATAAATGATATATTGCTTCTGTTATCTGTTTCCTTAATTTTGTTATTAAAATTTCTCTAAGTTCAAAGTATTAAATGTTTATTGTAGAAAAATGCATACAATATGCTGAAACATTGAAAATTTTTTTGCAATATTTATGCATTTCTAGCCTATCTTCTTTTACTTTTAGTCTTGTTTTTTGTTTATATTTTCTTATATATAAGAATACATGAGAACATTTTGTAACTTATGTTTAAATTACTTTAAATTTTTTCTATATTGTACTTATCAATACTGCTCTGAGGCAATTTTGCAAATTCATACATAAATCTTTTCTCAGAATTACTTTCTTAGTATATAACTATCCCCCCAAGGGTTATGAACAGTTTTTATTTTCTCAATATGTATTGAAAAATTACTTTTGGCCCTTATCAGTATATACTTTCATTATAAGCAGCTTTTATGTATATAAATTCATAATGCTTAAACTACCTAAACAATTATAATTGTCTAAGTTAAAAATAGTTCTAATCATAATTAGTCTTTTTATACTCCTCATAACTAGTGATGCTAATACATTTAAACACTGCAGTCTGTATGACAGTTTATGGGCATTACAATATTAATATGTGCCAACTTCATTTTATGTATTTTCACAGTACATTGAGATCTCTTCACACAGAATGTGTGATTTATTGTAGAAACTTTTCAGTTATGATTTGTAAATATTTTTAGAAATATTTCCTTTCCTAATAGTTACTATCTAAATTTTCACAATGAAATTACTGTTACATTTCTGGGAAAAATCTAATTTTATCTTGATGAATTAATGAAAGGAAGAAGGTAAAGATTGTTGATTTAGAATTATTTAAACTGAGTCAGTCAGTGACTTAAAAAATGAATGGATTGCTTAAATAGAAGTTGTCTTATTTTTCAGTTGAGTCAGTGATGCTAATATACTAACTGCATGAAAAGGAACATGGCAGTATCTGTTGTTGGTGATATACAAAATTGGTTGACAATTTATATATCAGTTATATGAAATTTTAATTTTATTGTGTAAAATATGAATCTAAAACATGTTAGTAAATAAAGTTTTTAAACTCAGAAACAAAGAATTTAAAGCAATATAAATAACAGTCAATGTATGAATCACTCATTTTAATTCATACTTTTCCAATACTTACCCAGATGTAAACCTGAGCAAGTAACACTTCTCTAACTCTTGCTATTCACATATAAAAAATATAGGAGTTGCTAATAACAACAGAGGTCACTTACACTTCTGTAAACTTGTTTCTTTCCATAATGACCCTCTCAAATAGATTATTATATATATTATGTTTAGTGATTAATTCCCAGCATGGAAATGGATTTTGATGATTTAATGAAAATGTTTGTTTTATAGATAAGGGTGTTTTTTATTAGCGTTTAGAGGAGGATGATAGGACTCTGGAGGATATTAAAATCAAATTATAATAACTATTGATGAAGCATATGTAACAAGGGAGGATATAGGTTTTCAAGAGCCTGAACATTACACGGTTTGGTGGTCCCTCTTTACAAAAGATATAAATTACATACAAATTGAATATTCATAATAAGAAAAATCACAACAAATCATGAATTTTTAAACTTCTCAAATATTATACACAAAATACTCTCAGGGCCTTGAAAGTGTCCTGTTCAAGAGAGGGCCTCTAAAACTTAACCTTCATTGGCTTCATGGTAATTTCATTTCTGAAATTAGGCATGATTTTTACTCTTCCTACTTTTCTCTGGCTCCACTCCTTAACAGTTCTTCTCTTTCCATGAACACAAGTATCCTGAAAGAAGAAAGCAACATTGGAAGTCAAATGTAAATACTGAATAGATAAGGAGTTTGTCTTGGCAAGGACCATGCTAGCATGGTTCCCTCTATATCAGCTGCCTGAATTATTTTTGCTATATTTCATAAAGCATTGACGATTAAGTTATAATAACTTCTTTACTGTGGTTTTAAAAGGTAGAAAATTGTATTATGTCTTTTGTTTTAGGTTTGTTTGTTTGTGTGGTGTGGTGTGGTTTCATGTAATCTAAGATGTCCTTTGAAAATGTCATGTAGCATAGGCTGGATTTGAACATTTCATCATCTTATTTCCACTTCCTAAGTGCTAGGATTTTAGGTGTTTGTTACCATGTCTTGTTTGAATTCTTATAGTTTGATGGCGAATTAAACCTAACCACAAATATGGGCATTTCTATACTGCTATTAGAGTGAATAATATGCTTTCTACCTTGTCTGGGAACATTATTTTACATCTGAGAAAGTGTACTGGTTCTTTGGCATTATGTGTTCAAACATCTCATCAAAATCATCTTTCCCCTAATATGCCTTGTTTCATATACTTTTTTACACATTTGATGTGTAGATAACTATGCCAATTTAATCAAGGATTATGAAGGGCAAAATTCTTATGATATTCCAAAATTTTTACACAGCTTGTATTTTATGATATTTTTATTCATAATTTTCTTGGATCTTTGGTGACAATTACAGTTTTTTGAGTCATCAGTGATCCTGTAGTTAATTGTGAAGTATATTCCAAGAAAGTGTACTGATTCTCAATATCAGTAATCCAAAAATATTAGAGGTAAAAATTTAATTATACCTTTGAAATTTATTTTGTAACCTTCTAATCATAGATGTGGCTATAAACCAACATGCTTTGTTGAAGAATCTGGTTTGCCATAAAAAGGAGTTGCCAAGAAATGATTAGATATCAGGAAAGTGTAGGCTTACTACACAACAAACAAAACAAAATTAAGGCACATCCAAATTACTAAATGTAAAGCATATTCAGTAATTTTTAATATTCAAAAATTCAAAAGGCTACTCCCTGAGCTTCTCTGTTGTGAAATCCAGCAGGGAGATTTTTTTCAAGTGACAAAATGTGTGTTTAAAATACTGTATTACTATAAGGTATTTTTCATGTAAAAAATGCGTCATCAAAAATAAGAGTGTTTTGTGTCTCCAACATGTGTAATTATACTACATTATGGAAATCTAGAATCCAGCTTCAAAAAGATGCTTACTCTTTTTGGATTTCAGATTCTGCTTCCATATTACAATGTCAAATAATGAAATAAGTTATAATCTTTTTAAATTTAAATATGCTATTGATGCTCAGAAGGAGAAGCCTACAATTACTTAGCTGACATTTTGTTTGTATTAAAGTATTAAGAGTCAGGAGATGAAGTAGGAGCCCATGACATTAGGCTTTCTGAATTCTAGATAGAAGTAACTCTTGGATAAATAAACCTGATACATTCATAGCAGTAACTAGTCTGGATGGCTTAACTGTCCTAAATTATTTCCATTAGAAATTGTTGTGTGATAGCCCCAGATTTATTTTTTTACATTAAAAAATGTCCTTTATTTTTCTAACCAATCAGGTAAAGCATTTATACCATTTTCTTATGTAACTTTCCATAAATATTCTAATGTAAATAATTACAGCTACACCTAAATCTCCAGAGAGCAAGTGACCATGTGATACCCAATCCCAGATGATAACAGTTACAACTCCCATATATATGACTCAGGGATCATAGCAAAATGGGGTGCAAAAAAAGATTAAGAGTCAGATTTACCTTTGAAATTATACATGTAGAACCCACAGAGGAGCTTTCTAAGCTTTTGGCTTCCCTTCCTACTCAGTCTCATTTTACTTCATTCTCTCATGTCTTTACTTCCAGTAATCTATAACCTGTGATTTGTCTACCCACAACTTCTCTACCATGAATATTTCTTCTAGTGCTATGAGAATTACCAGTGAATGTCAATTATATGGGCAAAATTTTAAAGAATGTCCATAATCTTAAAGACAATCACAGAGGTTTTTTTTCTTTTCACTAAGAGAGGATCTTTCATTTCATATCTTAGTCAGTTTTAAAGCTGTATGTGTCTAACAACTAAACAGTTGTATTACTTCATAATTTAAATTCCAGTCATCATTTCCTTTGAAATGCATGTCATGATCCCATTTTGTCCTCAAAATAACTCTATGGTAAGTAGGAAGATTATTCTACCTACTTAAAATATTTTTTAAACTGAAACATAAATATGCTCTATGCCCTTCTGTACCCTTGCTTATGACTAATACCTATCAAGTTCCATTGAATCATCCATATCATCTGTTTATCCATTTAATCACCTGTGGTCAGTTGTCTTGTCTCAGAATCTAATCTAAAATTTAACCAGTCTCTAAAAATGACCCCCTATCCAACTCCAGAAATTCATTCAATATCAGCATATGGCCTTTCTTACCTCTTCAGCCAAAATATTTGGCTACTTACGAAGTTTTCAGAATGCTTCCAATATGATGGACTTTGTGTTGATTGTCAAACTTTTGACTGAGATCAACCAGAAAAGCTTGATGAATTGAAAATCTTCAGAGGCATTGGAGAGCTACCATTCTTTGAAAAAAATATGGGACCAATACCTTGAAAGAAAGAAAACCTAGACTGTAAAGCAATACAAGCCA